TCCTATAGAAATGACTTAGATGATTGACATTCCCAGCCACAGCTGTCTGATAGGTTATTCTGGACATTGTCATGGGAAAGTAGACATCCAAAACTATACATATATAGTATGTTCTGAGAACCAGAGCTGACAACTGATAATGTTTCTTTTGTATTTGTGTCATATATGTTGAGTCAGTACACCTGTAACATAAGAGACTAGAAAAATAGGTTATTATATTTGTTCGGCTAGACTCTCTTGAAAGTGTTACATCCTCCTCAGCCCAGAGCAAGACAGTCTTTAAACAGGTACGCTGGAAGAACAAATACAAGACATCATTAAATCCTATCAGTTCAAGCCTATAAACTCCACATCCTGAATTAGTTCCCAAATGATTTCATTTAACTGCACAGGAAAACAACAATTTTGCCATTTCTAGAAATTAAATGCATTACGTTCAAATCATTATTATCTGGTAGAGATTGAAGACAGAATTTTAACCATTTATAATGACTCCTAGACCACAGAATACTAAAAGATATTTTAGTTTTTCCTCCAGTACTAAAATTTAGAATGTTTGTTCTAAGGAAATAAATGAGAGTTTTAAAGAGATGAACCTATGGAGATTTATATGATAAATGCTGGATAACTCCCTGTAACTGGTATTTTAGTCATATATTGGGTAATCTCTAAAAAAATGCTTCTTTTCTCTGTCTTTATTCAACAGCCTGCTTTACGTTATGACTGTGTGGTACAGACTACAGGTGATACATGGCATATCCCCTATAAAGACTTTTTTGAGGAAAAATATTCCTATGAAGTACCAAGAAAATGGCTCTGCATCCAGCAGAAATGATGAACAATGTAACTGCACACGCTGAAGATGCCTCTTTTTTTTCTTTTTTATCACTGTTGCTGACCAGGAGGACTCAGCAATACAATTATGGGATTAATGTGTGAGGCCTAGAACTGGAGAAAATTCAGTAACTGCATTTTGTCAAAATCATGCCTGCAGTAAATCTGTTAACATCAGTGGTGGTCCAGCAGGGATGAATTACATCCATTACTTCCAGCTTTATGGGTAATTTCTGTGGCTTCTCAAAGTGATCTGAATTAAAACTTGATTTTTCCTCTTGCAATGTAAGGTTTTTGTTTTGGTTTTGGGTTTTATTGTTGGGTTTGGGGTTTTTTTCCCCCTCAAGATTTTCACCTACACTGAAATGCATAAACTCTGTACTTCAAATAAACTAAGCAGGACTTGCAAGATACCTCAAAGTCTGTGGGGCTGACCTTGCACAAGTGTTACACAGTGTCTGCCACCAGTAAAGGAAACTAACGGGACCAGATGATACGTATACTGTTTGCCAGACACATATAGCCCTAATAGGGCTAATGCTAATTATAATTAATTTGATCACATAGAATGCAAGAGATTTGTTACAGCAACATAGATTAAGATTTTGATTGGAAGAGTAAGGAAATGACCAGTGGGATATTGTGTGGCTCTTTCACACTCCTAATTTGCTGGTTCTGATGGATTTCATGTCACTGGAATAGTTTCGTTAAAGAAATGCATGAATTTTTGGAACAAAAATTGATGATAACTATAAATTTTTACAGGCAACAATAGGATAAAACAGAACTCTGAACACAGATTTCTGTAAAACCTATCCCAAGTTATAAAGCAAGAAAAAAAGTATATATTCCAGGAAAAGTGTTCCAAGTCATTATTTCTAAGTGAGTATATAGTGAATGTGTTCGTTTCTTGCACTTGCCATTTTAATGCAAGCCTTTCTTCCCCCAAAACACAGATTACACATTAATCTCAGATAAAATATCATGGGTTTGTTGCATTTATCTTGTGCACTGAAAAATCCTTTATTTGAAACTGAGCTGAACCACACAGATCTTTTTGTATAGTACTTGCAGTTCTGAGCTTTTGCAGTATCCCATGACAAGCTTCCTCAGGACTCTTAGCATTCAAACATGTTCCCTGCTATTTTTTTAATGTCACCTGTTCTACTCCAGGTATCAGTTTGTAAACCAGCAGGTGTGATTTGCATACTTTCATATCCTTCAGGTACTGTGCAGAAAGTGCAGAGGAGCTGATTAACTCCTTCAGGTAATCTGGAACCTTGGTTTTAAATTCATCATCTTGACAGCATTCATCATAGACCCCTTTTCTGACAGAACATGCCAGCTCCTATGAGTCACCTGCTTTCTGGAGTCCACCAGGGAAAGCAGAGAGATTGGATCTACTTCTCTCACTCATCAGACTGATTTAATTCTAATTTGTCAGAAGATGGGTTTGCAGTTCTGTAAGTTGGAGAACTGCCACATCTCCTTGAAAGTGCAAATTCTGCTTTGTTAAAGTAAACATCTGCTCCTCTACAGAACTGCTTAATTAGCAACTGTTGCTCTGTAAGAGGGTTACTTACCCTGTATATGAAGCCCCATAATAGCATAAGCTGATGTGAATCAGTGATGTTACAGTCACAGTTTGGTACTAGCTCTGGTGCTTTGCTTATGCAGTCCTAAGCAATTCAGAGCTGGGTCTGCTGAATGTAAACTTGAAAAACTGGGTTTGGCTAGGTCAAGACTAGCGTTGTTTCACTGAACTAGCACCATTGCACAAGTACGTGTGTAGGAGGGGGGCTGAAATGTCAGGCTGCAGAACATGGGTCCCTGCAGCTCTGCCTTAGGTCAACTTTAGCTGACCAGAAATTGGCATTTTATCTACTTCATTGCCAGACATGTTCGTCCACTGAAGTTTGGTTTTTACCTCACGCTGGTCACTAACAGACATGCATAGTATCAACATCTAATTGGAATAAATGCATCCTCTACTTCCTTTTGACTGAGAACAACATGCCTCATACTGATGATTTGGGCTTCATCTCAGAAACTATTCTTAGAATGACCATAATACCTTCTACATAGTAATACTTCCTCAATACACATTCTTAGTGTATTTAGAAGATAGAACAGAATCTGCTTGGTATCTGTTACTTTGTATGCAGTAGGCCAGTAAAAATCTAAGGATTTTTAATATCTGTCTAGTAGTTTATTAGATTAATGGTCCATGCTGAATGCTGGAAAGGCAAGTGCTCCAATGTTGCAGCAAAACTATGGCAAATGACACTGATGGCCCTTTGCAAGTACTCTGGGTTAGGATAACAGAAATCAGAAGGAAGAATGCTCAGCTTAGCCTGCCATGTGCTATCAAGATGGAGACTCACTGGCAAGATAGCCTTGAGGCAGACTGAACTGATTCAGCCAGCACTGTAGCTGTTTTGTGAACGGCTTCCTCTCCAAGCTCACAGACTTGTTTACTGTTAAAAAACATCGGTGAGAACAGTCTGCCTCAGGATCCTGCAACACAGACTTTGACTTGTGGTGGATCAGAGGTGATCAACAGTAAACCAAATATACGTGATTGCTCTGCTGAAACAAACCCATACTTTGCAAGTTGAGGGAATTGCTATGTAGATGGAGAAGACTTCTGGAAGCCATATTCTGAGAGCAGCATGGTTTCCACTCCATCATGTCCATGGTACTGAGCAACTGTTAGTCTTTCCTTGGTGTAAGTCAAATATGGAATCTCTGGATGCAAACACAAATTTTCTCGCTTGGCTACTTTATGGCAATCAGGCTGAATGTTAGATAATTACATCCATTTTCCTATCCCCTTTTTTTCAAGTGGAAAAAAAATAATTTGACATTAAACTCCAGTGTTAGAGAATGGGAGAACTTTGTGCATGTAAGGCTAGAAATCCTCAGCCTGGAGAAACACAGAACTTTGAGAGATGTAGAGGCCATAAGAATCATGAGTATTGTGGAAGGGATGCATGGGGATTGTTTAATTACTGTGTCTTACAGTACAAAAGTAGCACCAAATGGTGATGGTAGATAGAAGTTTCAGATAAAAGGTGAGGTTTCACATGAAACCAGACAACACAGAACTGCTGAGCAACTCTTTGCCATGGCATGTTATGGATACAAGGAGTTCATGTGAGTTCAAGGGGAGACCAGCAAGTTCATGAAAGAGAAATCCAGCATACCTTATTAAATAACCAGATACAACCTCTGCCTTGGGAAGTCCCTCCAGACAGCTGGTGTCTCATTAAAGGCTCTATATAGTCCTAATACTTGGGCATTCATATCTGGAGATGGAGCACAGGGCTATGGAGACTTTGCCTCTGACCCGGCAGAGACCATCTTGCATTTTCATGTTCTCCGTGTTCCAGTGAGAAGCATCAGTTTTAAACACTTCATGTCTGCCCACAAAGTGCTTCCCTAACAAAGGAGTCAAACTCCGTGTCCTGTAATAAATAAGGAGATTAGAAAGCAAGGTAAAATATATAGAAATAGTCAAGCTGTTCCAACAAAGACTAAGCTCATCTAACTATCATCTTTAAAAACAGAGGTGTGGATATCAAAACACGGAGTTTTGAACTCTTTTGATAACCGACTGTAACAGCCTTCCCACAGGGAGTAGGGGAAATCCAAGACGCTGAAAGGCAAAAAGAGCGTATATTCTCGAGTTTAAATTTGGGGAATTTCCCGTTGTTCTGGCCACCGATTAAAAAGAATCTTTCAAACACCCCATTATAATGCAGCTGCGGCAACAATTCTTCATTACGAGTATCTTAAAAACGTTTTTTGAGGTTAGTGTATCCCTGTGCTTTAACACTACACTCATTGAGGAGGAGACGTAGAAATACTGTGCTTAGGAAACAAAGCGCGGTTCTGCTTTCCTGGCTGGCTCCTGAAGGTTCTTTTCTCTGTCTTCTGCCGTTTCCGTGCGTGTTCTCTAGCGCACGTAGAGCGCGTTTGGCGTTTTCGATAAATCAGAAACACTTCAGCCAATTCCTAACCACCCTCCCCCTCGCAGCCCCTCCGGTTAAACTCCTTACAGCTGCCGCGTTTCCCTCGCGACACAGATGACACATCGGCATAGGACGGCCCTCAGCCGCATGCGCGTGCGCGGTGAGGGTGGTGGAGCGTGACGGTGCGCGAGTGGAGCGCGCCTCTGCGTTTGCGCGGCTCGTGTGACCCGGAAGCTCTCCGCCGGGTGCAGTGTGTGCGGTGTCGGTGGGGCCCTGCACGCTGTGAGCCCCTCGGTCGCGCCGGCTCTCCTCACACTGCCCGCCATGTCCCGAGGCTCCAGCGCCGGTTTCGACCGTCATATCACCATCTTCTCGCCCGAGGGGCGCCTCTACCAAGTCGGTGGGTGTCCGGACACGGGGATGCTGCTGCTGCTGAATTGCCCCGTCACGGGCTCGGCCTGCCCGCGCCGCTTCCCGCCGAGCGGGACCGCACCGGCCCGGAGAGCCTGCCTCCGCCGAGCCTGGCTGCTTCTGGGGAGGTGGGAGTGTGGCGCTGCCCGCGGCCGAGGTGTCTCTGTTCCCGCTCTGCCTGGCCCCCGGTGGGAGCCGGGAGCAGCTGCGGTCATGGCCGTGCCAGCGTGGGGGCCTGGGAAACTGCCTGTTTGCTCTCCCTGAAGTGTCTTTATTATTATTTTTTTTTGCAGTTTTTCTTGCTAAACTTACGAGCATTGTGTTTTGGAACCCATGAACTTACATAGCTGTTTGAATTAGGACTTGGGCTGCCTCAAATCCTGCATACCAGAGTAACAAAGCCAGGTTTTGGAGGTAGCCCATTCTTTCTCCTGTTACACCTGAGTGCCATGTGTTCTGTGCATCATGGCCTGAGACAGCAGCAAGCATCCCTTATTTCCAGGCATCTTTGAGCATTCTGCAGTTAAGCTGCAGCATAGGTTCATCTTGCTTATTTCTGTAGCTGCTGTCGGCTTAAGCCTTCTATTCTTTTACAGTGCACCAGGTTCTGCAGAAGAGCCTCGTGGTGCTTCTTCTGCAGAATACTTTATACCAGCATAGTCAACTTGCAGTCTCGAACAGCAGTTCACTGAGGGTGGAGCTGGAGGATCCTCGTGACAGGGCCAGATGAACTGTTCTGGTGGCATCATCCTGATGCCTTTTTTATCTGGAGCTTAGTGGTTCTTCCCCAGTTGTAGTGGCTTCACTGTGTGGCATGTCCATACTGCCATCTGTTCTCCAGCAAAGGATGTTGCTAGGACCAGGCTGCATGAATTCTCCATGGTAGTCAGTAGTTTCTTTTGTGTCTGCCCTTGAGTTCTTCTCAGGAAGAAGGCTATGTGAAATAGGCTTCATGGGCTGGCAGCCCAGTCTTGAGCAGACTTTTTTCCAAGGAGCAACTAGGAAAGTGCCTCTGGTGTCTATACACAGGTAGAAAGTTACCTGTATTAGGTAGCTGGAGTTTGCATAAGGCTTGTGTGCGACTTGCATAGTAAGCCTCATACATATCAATGGTAGGGACAGTACTTCCTCATAGAGGATGTCAGTGGTTCAGACCTTCTGTTGCCTTTAAAACAGGCTGGGTGGTCTGCATCACCTTTCTGGCTGTTCTCTGTTTCATACTTTGTGTTGGGAATGGTTTCTGCATCCTGTAGCAGAGGAAACCGAGCCTTAGTTTTCTACCTCCTAGGTATATTCAGCAATTAAGTTAATGTATGAAGGACGTGCATTACCTCCATAGCTTTTACCAGCTTTGTAGAACCAAGTCTCTGCACGTGTATTTGAGAACCTCTGCACGCAGCCTGAAGCTGTCTTAAAGATATTTTAAGTACTAATATGCTGTGGGAATTAAAATACATAGATGTGCATAGTTAACCTCAAGGAAGAATAAGCTCACTTTTCCCAGTGCCAGGCTGGTAACTCTGGCATGGTGCCACGCTAGCATCTCTGTTGGTCAGCATCTAGCCACTGCATGCGCAGAAAGCTCACATTTGCTTTTGGTCAGATATCATCATCTAGCTACCTGTCTTTCTTCCCTCCCTTCCCTTATGAAGCTCACGTGCCTTTAAAGTGATCTCATATTATGGAATCATAGAATAGTTAGGGTTGGAAAGGACCTTAAGATCATCTAGTTCCAATCCCCCTGCTATGGGCAGTGCCTTACCCTGATGATGTCACCCAAGGCTCTGTCCAGCCTGGCTTTGAAACCCACCAGGAATGGAGCATTTACCACTTCTTTGGGCAACCAGTTCCAGTGCCTCACCACCCTCACAGTAAAGAACTCCTTCCTAATATCTAACCTGAACTTCCTCTGTTTAAGTTTAAACCCATTACCCCTATCAGTACACTGATCCAGTGTCTATCACAACATAGATGTATTAGAAAAGTATAAGTTATTTTGTATGTATTTCTCATTGCTTTTCTTAAAATCCGTCAGAGCATCAGTGTTATCTTGCCACCTGTTAGTTCCTGTCTTCAAGTGTGATGCTTCATCTAAATGGGATTTTGGTAGGTGAAGAAAATAATTATGGTCAAATTTGTGAGTGTTTGTGATGTTTTCAGGGAATACCGAGTGATGGCTCTTCTCAGAAAACATGCAGTGCTACTGAAATACTTAAAGTAGCAGAAAACATACTTAAAACACCACTAGCCATTTGCACTGGTTATACTTTAAGAGCCACTTCACTTTTTGCCTTGCCTCTGAAAACTGAGCAATGCAGATGATACTAAGAATGGCGCAAGAGGGGACTGTGGTTCAGTCAACAACCCTGATTACCACTACTTGTGAGCAAAGCCAGTTTGTGAGGGCACCTATTCCTGCTCCCACAAAATGGTTGAGGTTGGAAGGGAACTCTGGGGATCATCTGGTCCAAACCCCTGCTCAAGCAGAGCCACATAGAGCCAATTGCCCAGGCCCACCTCCAGACAGCTTTTAAATGTTTCCAAGGAGGGAGACTCCACAACCTCCCTGAGCAACCCATGCCAGTGCTTGGTCACCTTCACAGTAAAAAAGTGTTTCCTCGTGTTCAGATGGACTCTGCTGTGTTTCAGTTTGTGCACATTGTTTCTGGTAATATCACTGGGCACCACTGGAAAGAGCCTGGCTCTGTCCATCTTCACACCCTCCCTTCAGGTATTTGTACACATAGATATAAAAGTGTTGCAGAGCCCTGGCCTGGGGCTTCAAACATGACTAGTCTGTGGGCAGTGCTAGTTCATGTCTCACTGGGTTCTGTGCTTTGCTGCAGGCTAGCACTGATCATCCTGGGCAAGGCAAGTGAGCAGGTGAGTGGAGTTGTGCATCTAGCAGAAAGGGAGAACATTCCTTATGGCATGTTTGGGTAACCAGTAAATGCTCTGGTGCCCGAAAGTAATAAATACAGTGCCATGAATACATGGCAGTCAGCTCTTCCACAGCACTGACTCAGCAGGTTGAACATCAAGACCCTGGTATTGCAAGAGTAGGTTATAATTTTCAGATTACTCCTCGTCTGTTGTGCAGTCTCTTCCATAGATCTGAATGCAGCTTTTAAAACAGATGAGTAGTTTCTTGCCTCCCTTATTTTAGAAGATAGTTTTAGCATCTAGACGTATTCTAAATTCAAGTTGCATTCACATAGCTAAGAGAGAATTCATCTGCATTTAGCTACAGCCTGAAACTTGCGTTTCCTAACCAAATAGTAGGAAGTTTTGTATGTTTATCATATATTGCTGGATAAACAATCTATAAAGTTGTTGTTCCTGAGGCTTTTGAAACCATTAATCAAGGGAAATTTATTTCATGGATCACATAAAATAAATCATAATCCATTATATTTATCTGAATAATGCTGTTTAGTTGGCATGGGCATAGGTTTCATTTTAAAAAGTGAACAAAAGCATTGCAGGGTTTGAATGTCAAGTCTGAAAATGTGATAGTAAGGTTAAACCCCATCTTCTGTGCCTGGTCCATCATTTCTTTTTTCATCTGTATCAGTTAAAATCTACATAAGAAAATTAGATCTTTGCACTGATAGCAACACTTGTAATACTAAGCTACTGCATGTTAAAAGAAACTGAGGATTTGCAGTTACTGTAGGTAAAGGTTGGACCACTTTGGTCAAGCACAAAACAACCTCTGTTTTAAAACAAATCCTGTTGCTTTTAAGCATTCCAAGCGAACAAAAAGGCAAGTTATTAGAAATATTTGAAGGAAGCAGTGGTAGTGGTTTTGTGAAGAGAGTCAATTACTTCAATTCCCATCAGAAACTTGCATGCATTTTATTAAAGACCTTAAAGACGCCAAGTGTTGTGAAGCATTAAAGTATTAAAAAAAGCCAGAACTGGGTGAGATTTCTGTGTTAGGGGAAGGTGTCAGACGTAATTGTATTAACATTTACGTGTTTTTCTAGAATATGCGTTTAAGGCCATAAACCAAGGTGGACTTACATCTGTCGCTGTTCGTGGGAAAGATTCTGCAGTAATTGTAACACAGAAGAAAGTACCTGTAAGTAGCTTGGTTTTGGGAGTGGGGGAGACTGGAAGGAGATGAGAAAAAAGGTGTGGGGGGTGAGACTTTGATATTGTATTTATTAACACTGACCTGTATAGCTGCTTGGATTGATTATCTTACTATCATTCTGCTTATTACAAGTTCTAGATCCATTTAGTGCTCAGTTGTACATTTCTTCACTAAGTACTGTAGTACTGGTTTTCTCTGTAGTTGTGGGAGGGATGAAGCTAAAACACAAAGTTGGTTCTGCTGTATGTTAGCATGCATGCATTTCTCTGGCTTGTAAGGGCAGTAAGTTCCATAACCCCACTCAATGTTGTACCAATAGCAAGTAGAGCTATTCCATGAGTGTTTCAGTAGAGTGGTGATGACAAAGCGGGAAAACCTTGTGTTTGACGGGCAGTATGCAATAAGAGCTGTGTTGTGGTTTGAGCCCAGACAGTAACTAGGTACCATGCAGCTGCTCATTCACCCTCATTCCCTCCCCAGCCCCTAGTGGGATGGGGAAGAGAATTCGTAAAAAAGTGTAAAAACTCACGGGTTGAGGTAAGAACAGTTTAATAATAGAAAAATAAAAGTAAAATGTAATATAATAATAATAGAAAATAGAGAGAGAAAGGAATAAACCCCACCCCCTCCAAGGAAGATGCCCAGCTTGTTCCCAGGCAGCGATCAGCCACTCAACTATATACTGAGCATGACTGTAGTAAGGACTTATCCCTTTGGCTAGTTCGGGGCAGGTGTCCTCTCTCTGCTCTCTCCCGGTTTCTTGTGCCCCTCCTCACTGGCAGAGCATGAGACACTGAAAAGTCCTTGATCAAGGTAAACGCTGCTGAGCAACAACTAAAATATTGGTGTGTTATCAGCATTGTTCTCAGACTAAAGCCAAAATGCAACACTGCACCAGCTACTAGGAAGAAATTTATCTCAACCAAATTGAAGACACAAGCACAAGTTTTTGTATTTTGTGTTTTCAAAGTTTTTAAGTTTTTTCAGAGGGAAAAGGACTTTGATGTTGGTCATCTCTAGCTGTCATCCTTTTCCAGATACTGCAGTTTTATCTTCCCTATTCTCCTGTTTCTTCTTTTCATGCCTATAGCAGTAAGTAGTGGTGAGCCTGAAAGGCAATTTTTAGCTGTTAGTTGATCCTTTTTGGCTTTTCTGTAGATACAGGAGTATTCCAAGTCTGGGTTGGGGTTTTTTTTACTCAAAGGACAGTGTTTTCTATTAGTTTATTTCTGTTTCATCCCTAGGACAAGTTACTGGATTCCAACACAGTGACTCATTTATTCAGAATTACTGAAAACATTGGCTGTGTGATGACAGGAATGACAGGTATTTATTTCACTATCTTTTTTAAGTATCTGAAGCGTGTAGTTTGCCAACTTTGTGTCACATAAAACAAATGAGTGCTCTAAGAGATTCGTTCCACTCAGTCTGGTTTTGGAAAACTTGTCTAGTTCTGATGTATGCATGTAAAAGTGACTTAAGGTTGACCCTGGAATTTGCATTCTCAAGCGATGCTAGGAATAAACCTGGTACATGTTCAGTGAAATTAATATTGGTTCTTCCTCTCTAGCTGACAGCAGATCTCAGGTGCAGAGAGCTCGCTATGAGGCTGCTAACTGGAAGTACAAGTATGGCTATGACATCCCTGTGGATATGCTGTGTAAAAGGATTGCAGATATTTCTCAGGTCTATACGCAAAATGCTGAAATGAGGCCTCTTGGTTGCTGTAAGTATAGTGTATTAAATTAATCTTTTCTGTTTCTTGTCTAAGCTTGCAACTTAAAGTATAAGAAATTCTCACCCATTTTCAAGTTGTACAAGATACAGATGTAACTGAATAAGTAAGAGAGATGAACAGCCAAATGAGAGAGCAGTGTTGGAAGTCTTGAATTGGAGCCATGATTTTGCCATTGAGTCAGCGTTTGAATTGGAGTAAATGATTTAGCATCTTTAAAATGTGCAGTTCCATTTCACCTTGGCTTCTGGGGCTGTGCTTGTGCAGATTTTCTGCAGATTAAGGATGAAAATCTGCATGATTTTTGCTCTTAACCATGGTATATGTAGCGTAGAGAAGTGCTTAAAAATATTTCACATGCAAGCATTTCTGCATCAGTCTTGTATAATAACAGTAGATGAAGTTTAAATTACACAGATGTGTGCAGGGTTGTTTTTTGTAGGTATTCCTGGTCATCTGTGTAGTCTGAGGTTGGTTCTGACTTGTTTTCTCTCTTACATTTGGCTGCGGGCAAATTATAACTGTACTGTTAGACTGTCTGGGTTTCTTTTTGCTTGCTTGGTGGGTTTTGGTTTGGGTTTGGGTTTTTTGTGGGGGGGGGTGGGTTTTGTTTTTTGGTTGTTTTTTTTTATTTTTCTCTTCTCTCCACTAAGTGGAATAGTTTCAGAATTGGTGAATCGTTTCACGTAATCATAGTAGGCAGCAGCACTTCTCACTACAGAAATAACAGTCATGGTTGCACCACAGTTTCCATGATGGGGCAATTTTCCTATGTTTGTGATGTTCAGGAATGATTGTTTCTTTCTTCCCTTGGCATTTCCCCATGCCTTCATACTACTGGAAAGTGATTTTTGGTATTGGGTTTTTTGTTTTGTTTTGTTTGTTTTTTTAAGTAGATGAATGAAAACATCTTAATTTTCTTTAAGGTTTTTTTTAGAAGATGCTGGGAAATTGTTTATCTATTGTAGTAATAGTGGCTCAGCAGCTTATCAGCTGTAACCACTAGTTAAAAGTTTCACAAGTGTAAAGTAAAAATAATTTAATCCTGTTCTGGGTTGTTTTTTTTTGTTGTTGTTTTGCTTTTGAGTTATTTTTAATATGCCTATTGAGTCTGTACAAATGTAGAAGTGTGGGTGAATGTAGATGCATTTCAGTGATGTGACCAGTTTGTCACATCCAACTTGAAGCACTTAATCAGATGATCTTCAAAGGCTCAGTTCTATGTTCTGTTATTTCCACATTCTATTATTTTTCCAGATTTTTATATTTATTTTTAGTATGAAGAGGAGAGGAAAAGGGGTGTAATGCAGAGCTTTTCAGGATTGCAGTTGGGAAATTTAAAGTTGATCTTTTAATATTTCCATTAATTTCAACATATTTGTAAAGTTGCTTTCTGGCGGAAAGCACCTGTTAATAGAACTATTGTTTACACTTTTTAAAAATGCCATGTGGTAAGCAGGATGTGAACTGTGGCTGGGTTAACTTTGTATTGGGGCTGAATTCTTGTATTTCCTGACTTTGTGGTTCTCTACACACATGACAAAACTGTTTGTACGTTTAATGAGGAGCCTTCTTTGATAATGACGGAAATCTAGTTTGCACTAAATGGAGTTGCATGCATGTCCAGAAGATGCTGGTAACAAAAGGCAAATTGGAGATAAAGAGGAAATAGCAGCTCTTGGTATGGGACTGGTTCCCAAAATGTACTGCTGTGCATGCACGATTTTCACAGCAGGGGGGAGTATCTAGTCTGTTCTTCATCTTAATGAAATTGCTAAAATTGGGGTAAGAAATAAATTAACAAATTTTCTCTTGAAGGTATGATTTTGATTGGTATCGATGAAGAACATGGCCCTCAGGTATACAAGTGTGATCCAGCAGGTTACTACTGTGGATTCAAGGCCACAGCTGCGGGAGTTAAGCAGACAGAGTCAACCAGTTTCCTTGAAAAGAAAGTAAAGAAGAAATTTGATTGGACATACGAACAAACAGTAGAGGTAGGCCAGCAGAAGGAATTAAAGATCTGTTAAAGTATTTTTAATGAACACGCTGTGTGTAGGCTTTTGATGTAGAGGAATGCAGTTAGGCATTTCCTGTTTTCTTACAGTTCTGTATTGCTGCCAGAGCAAATACAGCTGCTCTAACCAGAGAATCTTTCGGAGGTATTTTGCAAATGTTTGAATGGTCATCGAATCTGCTTTACTTTAGCTGAAGCGGAATCTATAATTGTAGCACTTCCACTGTAGCGGGTGATTGGTTACTACAGTGTTTGATTCTGGGGATACCAGTGCAGTTTCCACTTAGTTACACTTAAAACGGTCATTGTGTTAGAAAGCATTTCAAACAGGACATGGTAGTGCTTGTCTGTCAGTTTAGTAAACATAACAGTTCTCACAGTAAGCATAACAGCTGGTGTTCAGGGCCCATTAAAAAGATGTATCCCACGTATAAAATAGGCCAATGAACTTAGTTTATAAATCATCCTTAATTTTTCACTTGCGCTATACAGATCTGTCTAAGCAGTCCTTTTTTGTGGTATACCTATTTCCCCTGCCAGGCCTTGTTCTTCTCTCATAATCATAGCAGCCTTCCAGTATCTGAAGGGGGCCTATAGGGATTCTGGGGATGGACTATTCATTAGGGACTGTAGTGACAGGACAAGGGGTAATGGGTTCAAACTTAAAGGGGGGGAAATTTAGATTGAATATAAGGAATAAATTCTTTCCTGTAAGGGTGGTGAGGCCCTGGAATGGGTTGCCCAGGGAGGTTGTGAATGCTCCACCCCTGGCGGTGTTCAGGGCCAGGTTGGACAGAGCCTTGGGTGAGATGGTATAGTGGGAGGTGTCCCTGCCCTTGGCAGGGGGGTTGGAACTTGATGATCTTAAGGTCCTTTCCAACCCTAACTATTCTATGATTCTGTGTTACATTTCCTGCATCACAAGATGAGCAGTTGAAATGTAGAATAACATCCTAACAACTGATGTAAGTTTTGTATTGTAAGATTGTTGTATTGAGATCCCTGTGAGTGCTTTGCAGATTTAGACCTTCAGCTAAATTACTTGTGAAATCTACATTGCTGTGGAAGTACCATTTAACCAGAAAGTTCTTCAGCATAAATTTGTAAGGTTTAAGTGTATATCTTAGTAAGTACTGATTTCCTTAGTATGTGAATTCCTTGGTCCTGAGGGGGTTAAATAATCATATCATACTGAAATTGAATGTATTTGCAATCACTTCAGAGAGCCTTTCTTATCCTGGCTAAATATTTTTCACATTAAATGTATTTTTCTACACTGCTTGATTACATTGTGCATGCCTCTTGTTGAGAGGTAGATGAAACAGTCTTTTCATTTTCTTGTTTTTAATTCATAAAACCTCCATGATATGGTGCAAATGTGTACTTGGTAATTAATCTGGCAGTCAGATCCTGGATGTGCTTCTGTACCTTTTGTTGTCTTTTTAAAAGTGCTGAGATTGTGAATTAGACACTGTTACTGTAAAAGGTGGCAGTGACACAGAAGCAAGTCTCAAGCAGAAACAAGAATCATGTTTTTGTTGTGCTCTTTGCACACGCACATACGTTGCCTTTCTTTTCTTTAAAGCTTGTGGTGCAGTAGAGGTACTGCTCCAAGGGTAAGAACTCTGGGTTTTCTTACTTTAGTGGGGTTTTTTTACAACTTAGCAGTCTTCTGATAATACATCTTCTATATAGTCTTATGAAATTATTGCAGAATCGATATATTATCATACTGAAAATAAACTTTATCTTGTCTGATGTTCTACACTTACTAACACTTTGCTGATCAGAATTAAATGGCAGCATGTAAAAATAAGTGATTTGATAAGCATCTAGCTATATAGCTGTTCTATGAAACTTCTTTTTGTGCTCAGTCATCATTTTAAGGATACATCTACAGCATTATTATGACCCTACTGCAGGGTTAAGTATGAGCGAGGTTACAAAGAACACCTTTTGAAACAGTTGATGATTAGGGTGCAACAAAAAATAAGTTAAGCCATGATGAAATACAGCTTTTAAAAACAGACAACATAATTTTAGTTACCAGAAGAAAAAGGCGAGATGGAAGCTGTACAAGTGACATGTGCTTTGGGTAATTTTGGACTGTAATACTGATGTCCGTATTATTTGCCACTAAGGAAACATGTTCTCTTTCTGGGACCTGGGCTTTTAATCTTCTCATGACAAAGTCTGGGTTTTGTTGTGTGGGGGCTTTGTACTATGAAAACCACATATCCCTTTGTTTTTTGTAGATTGGGCTTTTTAGGGAGAGGACTGGGGCGGGACTCTATTCTGTAACAAGGGGAAACTATTTGAAACTTTTCAGCTAAGGTTTTGAGGTGGAAGGAAATAAAACTAGAAGGAAGGGTAGCTGTGAATGCTGTGTCTGTTTAAAAAATAACAAAACCTTACTGCTGTTTAATGATAGGGGTTTTTGTCATCTTTCAGACAGCAATAACGTGCCTGTCTACTGTACTATCCATTGATTTCAAACCTTCAGAAATAGAAGTTGGTGTAGTTACAGTGGAAAATCCTAAATTCAGGTAAGTGATCAGTGTTATAAAACTTGATGTGTGTTTCTCTAGTTATATGCAGTTAGTTTGAACTTCTTTGTCATGATAAGTCAAGAAAAAAAATGTTAGAAATTGAAGTTTTTGAGGTTTTTTTTCCTTGTAACTCTTCAAAATGTGTAGGTGTATAAAACATTGTTAAAAAACACAAAACACATCTTTAAAACGTTTGACAAGGTTAAAGGATGTCAACAAAAGTGTTATCTTTTGTTTCTTAAAAGGGTATTGCTTTATGTGATGATTAAAATGTAGTTACATCTGGTATAGGTGGTTTTTCGTACTTAAAAGAGTAAAGATTTTTCTTTGTACTAGTATATGAAGTCCACTTCCGGATCATAGCTAGGACAACTAACACAGTGAAGTGTAAGTTTTTATACTAGGGAAAATTTTGCAAATCACTTAGGTTTTTTATCTTCTTCTAAATGAGATCTTTGAATTACTCTTGCTCATCTTGTAATTGCACCAATTTTTAACGTCTCCAGTATATAGTTAACACATTATGAATTTGTATTCTTTGAAATGCTATATATATTTGGCAAGATTAAAAGATCCTGGGGTTAAAAATCACTGCAATGATATGAAACTGTCTTGAACTTCTGCTTTCTGAGTACACTGCATTCCCACCTAGCAAGAAAACAAGGCGCCTGCTATTTTCTCCCTCCCCTGGTACTGCCTGAATCTGAGTGCAGTGCACTGTGTGCAACAAACTAGTCAGTCTTTTAAGACAGCACCTGGAAATCTTGTGCTGAGGGCTGTACCTCGCATTAGATACAGTGTCCCTGATGGTCTTTGCACAACACAATGTTTATCTATGGAAGTATGCATGAAATGTGGGACAATAAGTTTTGGGGCTTTTTTGTTAATGCAAAAAGACCCTCTGGGTATGTGTTACCAAAAATTTAGGTAAGTCTGGCTTACTGCAGAAGAGTGCAATTATTTCTGCCTTAGCCTTTTTTTTTTTCCTTTTAATTATATACATTTTAGTATATACTATTTTTTAAAAATTGAGAAGAGAGGGACAGCTAAGTAGGGAAGAAAGGTCCTCTGCTGCTTTGGTTTAGCTACTTGGTAGGTGGGGACTGGAGAGAGGCTTCAAAGCTTTGGGTCTAATGTGTTTAAAGTTGACATGGTGATGACAGGTGGTTTTTCATTTGGTGTGTGTTGAGGACAACAGAATAGCATAGATTTTTTTGAGAAAGCATGCAAGGAGCTGCATTACCCCTTTTTTCTGCTGCTGCTCAAGGGTCAAGTGCTAGCTTTCTGGCAACCTTCACTTACCATTCTGTGACCTTTTCAGAAAGGATAGATAACAAGTAGAGGGAGAAGGCTATGAAAACCTGTGTCTCCCTTGGAGTATCATACTAATTACCACAGCCATTCTTCTCACAAGGTCCCAGCTTGCACATATATTAGTCATAAGGAATGAGGAATGTCGTTTTACCGTTTGTTACCTCTTTGCTTTTTGTGCCTTTGATTCTTCCTTTATTTTTCAAAAAGAATTGGAATGTTGGCCTGTGGCCCTAACAGCAGGACTTTAAAGGGCTTAAAGATGCATTGTATGTAACTTACTTGTGTAGGTACTAGGTTATAATATTGGAGTTTAAGGTGAAGAATCATTTAAGCTATTTAAGATTTCATTTTGTTCTTTCAGGATCCTTACAGAAGCAGAGATTGATGTGCATCTTGTAGCTCTGGCAGAGAGAGACTAATTTCCGTTGTCTGTGCTTCTGGCCTGGATATTTGGTGAAAACACTTATTAATGGCTTTAGATTATGGGTGGAAAACCATGTTCACTATATGATGTATTTTACTCTGTACAAATAAAACAGAGGTTTTTGAAATACTTAGTGTCTCCTTTTAATGTAAATTTTTTAACTTTCAGTTCTATGAAATCATCAAAATGCTTCATGACTTTGAATGTTTCTGTGGTTTTTCTTTTTAGTTGTATTTTAAGAGAAATTTTATACTCTGCATGATATTTTTCATCTGAGCTATTTGGCTCCTGATATAAAGTTTTATATCGGATTATGTGGTGTGTATGTCTTGAGATAATTCTTACATTTACATGTATTCTCTTCTTGCCCTGATACAGAAAGGCTTGTAACATTACTGGTTTAACTGTGGGGAAATTAAGATGATGGCTAATATTTGCTCAGGTTTGTATGATGATATAGGACAAATGTTAAAGGAAAAAATTTGAGCTGCAGTTCCCTGTACATTCCTTTAAACTCATTTATTTGGGATGGAGGTAATGAATTTAACAGACATCTGCTATTAAGCTCTTTGAAGCTAACATTTATTTAGGGAAACAGATTATATATGCAGTATCCTTTGGGATTTTGGCTGCCTGTCACCTACCTGGTTTTGAAGCATTGAGCAGCGCAGAAAACAATGTTGGGGCTGGATGGGGCAATAGACGAAGTCCGTTAACAAGAATGTGCCTGGGAAGCAACTCCCCTTGCTCCTTTGAAGTTCTAGGTTAGGAGAAAAGTGAATACTGCCAAAATTAGAGTCAAGGTGAAGAAAAATGTACTTTTGTTTTGCTGAAACTGAAGAGGTTTCAGCAAAAAGGGATTTGAAGTTATGAGGAAGGAGACACTGAGGAGAAAGGGAAGATACTAGGCATTTTTAGCTGCTGGGTAGACATGAGAGTCATCTTGGAAGAATGCCAAGCTAATACAACCTACCTCCTTACCTTCAGTTCTGTCATGCTAGTCCTGTATTTGCTTTAATTACTCCAAAATTCTTGCTTTACAGTTAAAGCCCCTTGAACATGTATTTTTCAAGTTCCTTGTAGTAAAGGAGATGTAATTCTGTGTTCAGTGGCTTTAATAAAAGATAATGCTAAGCTTATGTGATAAATGAGTTGAGGAGACTCAAATGTACTGTGAACTGTTGACTTTACAAAGCTTCCTGAATTTCCATTAATGCCTCCAAATTTCAGCTTCCCTCATGTCAGATGTAGTAGTCAGATGTGTAGTATAGGCGACTAGGTTAAGCCACCCTTGTTTCTGGTTTTGGGTTGGTTATCTGTGAATTCTGTGTGCTTTTGTGCAACAGTTGTCATGACTAACGGCACATTTGGAAAGGTCTGTCTTTCCATCTGTCAGTGATGGCTGAGTTTCTGAAACCTCCCAGGACCTTTCTTCCTAATACTCCACTTGTATAATAACTTGAAATTTTAGTAGGTTTAAGTCATCATTTATTCTGCCATAAAATATAATCCACTGATACTTTGTTCTCTATCAGCTTTAAGTGTATGAAACTTCAGTAATGACTTACTGAACAAAACAAATGAAAAGGAAGATGACAATCAGGGAGCTGTATGACTAGTGCACGTTTGTATGGTATTTTAGTAGCTGAACACCCTGCAATACCTGTAATACTAAATTTTGGAGTTTGCATGTGATTGTATAACTCAGATGGTGGTTCTGAGAGCAATTGATGTTTGTTCATACCTTACGCTTTTGCAATACAGAACGTCATACCTTGTGTTCAGACATGATGAAATAAGCTGTGTACAATATATTACTTTGGTATGTTGCATCATGTGTTAATAAGAAAAGTTAAAATTGCAGCAACTGAAATGCCATTTTTGCTAGTATATTGTCCTGTAGTGGAAATTCACGGTTCTCTTTTCATACTAATGATGGGGATTTTTCTTTTCCAGTCAGAGCTTTTTGTTATTTAAGATAAAGGCAGCTGTGCAGATGGGGATACCTGACCTACTGGGGAAACCCCGTGTATTACACATACACATGATTGCATTCCTCACGCCCTGGAGCAGATAGCACCTGCAACCCAACTGTGTAGCAGCCATGACTGGTGTTGAACTGTACCTGATATCACCTGCTGTTCCAAACCTGGCACTGACAGAGAAACTAGAGTATGCATGATGTGATCCTCACACTTCTGGTTCGGGTAGAGCTTATCAGGAGTGATACCAGACTTGGGCTCACTCCATGTATTCATGGTTTGTTTGCCAGTGTTGAAAACTCTGGTAGGTGCAGTTATGTTGTGAATGCACAAGTAATTAAGCAGGAATAGGAGTAAGTCTTATTTGCGTATAGACCCAGTTCAGTGTTAACCATACTAAACTCAGACTGGCTCTGCACAGCTTTGTAACTCTGTCCACGTTATGTTCCCAGTGCTCTTTATTTGAGGTGTAGAGTGTAAGGATGCAAATGCCACAGACGTGCTGTCAGCTTAGGTAAATCAGATGGATTATTTGCAAAGCATCTGGATTTCTTCTGAACAGCCTTGCTCACTCCCTAAGGGGGTCTCAGAAGCAGTAACAGCAGGTATTACAGACAGAAATAGCTTAATAGGGAATCTTAACATAAATTGTCTGTGGGTCATCAGGAGCTGTCTGTGTATTCATCCTGGGAACAAAAGATGTTAAGGCGGGCAGTAATGAACTGCTCCAGGATTTCCAGTATGTCTCAAGTGCAACATGTGCTTTGAATCGACTTCTTTTGAATTGACTTGTAATGCACAACGTTAGACCCTATCTTTTTTCACTGTGAAGCCTCCAGTGGTGACAGTCTGAGCAGTACAGAGAGGCAGATGGGGAGTTCAGGTGGAGTGAGTGTGTGTAGATACATTACAGCAATTTTAATCACATGGAATAATATGCTGCATTTTTCTCTTCCTTCTCTGATTTGCTTTTCATTGAGCCAGTGTCCAGATGTACCTAATAAGAAATTATTTTTGTTTAGTGCACACTGTGGGAAGTGAGATAAAAGGACTAGATCCTGAAAACAAACAACTTCACCATTTTTTCCCCTACACAGATGCAAAACCCGCTGGTTTGAGTTCTTCCTAGCAGCAGCATTGTTGGCTCTTGAGATCAAGTTCTTTGAAGTGTTTCCATGGCAGTATTCGTGTTTTGTTCTGGGATAATAATGGTGGGGGCATTGCTTTTCATTCTGTAATCAGTGATTATTTTTTTTTTAATTTTTTTTTTCAAATGGGAAGTTCTTAAATTGTCATAGCTTGTTCCAGCCAGTTCTTGCTAGTAACAGCTTGTTCTGTCCTCTTGTTTTGCCATAACCAAAACTATTTGGAAACAATGCAAGACATCCTGTAGTTCAGGATTTGTTGGAACGGTGAACTTAAACCTCTTCATGCCCAGACTAAACCAAGGAGCATCTTACGCTTATGCCAAGCTAATGAAAATAGTGTCTGGATTTTTTGTTTATCAGGATTTTCACATTATAAAACAAAAGCCCTAAAAAAAAAAAAAAAAGAAAACCACCAAAACACTTTATCCTGTCCTTTGTACTATGTCTGTATGGGTAAACTTGTATTTCTTAAATGACTGATAAAACCCCCAACTATTAGCAGTATTTACTGCTGTTCACCAGGCTTTTTTTAGCACATAACCTTTTCTCTAGGAGCAGCCTTACCTGTGTCACCATTCACTATGAATGTTCTGTGCTACAGTGTTAGATATGTAAACTGTAATATACTTGAAAGTAAACCTGGTAAATAAACAGACCCAGCAGATCACCGAGTCAATATCCAGCTAACTGCACCTGGCAGAATCGAGTTATATACAAAGAAGTGTGGGTTTTCATTTTTTTGGGTTGGTATTTTTCTCCTGGTCCTTTTTTTAGAATCTGACAGCCCTAGCTAAGCTTTCAAGTGCAGCAGATGCACTAGATGGCTTTGCTGTGCAACTCATTGCAGCTTAGCTGATCCATACATTGAACCACAAGCCTGTGGAATAAAGTTTTCTAGTGAAGCTTTAGCTAAAGCATGGTGTGCAGGACAGATCAGGTGACACAAAGCCAGGCTGTGGTTTTTTTTATCGGCAAATTTTATGTTTCTGTCCCAGAAACTGCCTCTTGTGACACCCGCTGGCAAAGAGACTTGTGAACATAAGCTATTTAATCCTTTATGGGATTTCTTAGTCTAGAAAGC